TTTACGGAGACTTGCCACGGTCTCCAACCCTCCTCCTTTCTCATCCGGGCTTGGGACCGGCCATGGCGGCGTTCATCCGGGCTTGGGACCGGCCATGGCGGAGTTTGCATTATACATCGCGTTGTAAATTAAAAAGGGTTCCAAACAAGCCTAAACGACGAAGGTAGAAGTTAGCTGTCCTTTGTTTGTCGACGTAAACCATTTGATCAAAACATAGTAACCTGTCATTAGCCACCATGCCAAGATACTTAGCATTTTGACTCCAGTGACAGGTATATGAATAAGATTAGTTTCTTTTGTAGCAGTGTTGACGAAGTTCCATTTCCGCGTATTTATATGAATAAAGACACAATCCACACATTTTCTCAGGTTAAGAATAAATTCGCGTGAGTTAAACAGTATAAATCCCAACTGTTCCTTCACCTAGGTCCTTTATTCTTTGAGGTCTTGGCAGTTTTTGACAACCGCAACGACAGTATTGTCGTTCGCATATTTCAAGCATAATCGCGGTAGTTAAGTTCTAAAGTTGTTCGTGTACAAAGTGAAGTGTCTTTAGCAGAGAGGCGCACCTTGCGAACGCCGGAATTGTAAAGTAGCTGTTAGTGAGTTAGTGCCGTTGAAGGTCCAAAGTCCTTACATTCAGACATGTGGTTTATCCCGTCATAAGGCGTAGATTGTAACTTATGCCGTAGGGCGGTATTAAATGCCGATAAAATCAGGGAACATGGTTTCACTGTGCAACTTCACGGCTTCAGTATACACCTGTTTCTTGCATCCTCTGATCGATGTTAATATTTCAAGGACTAAACACTTAGAGATTTACCTGTTTAGATGGCAAAGTTGAGAACGTGGCCGAGTTGATTGTCGCCGAAGGTCTAGCAGAGGTACGGCAGCCAAGCAGTCGAGGAGGAGAGTAATTTTGGCTTTACGTGAAATTTTGTACTGACCTTTCAAGTACATGTTTAGTGAGTATTTGCATAAACTGAACGACCTCCAAAACGCTGCGAAGGCAGCAAAGAAGGGAAAGTGGCTTGATGACGACACGCAGGAGCAGCATGTCCGAAACGTGGTCTGGACGCTGGAAAACCGTCGCCACTTGCTCGAAACGTCTCGTCGCGAACCGATCGATGCTGTTGTCGAGTACGTTCGAGACGGGTCTACGTTGAGGGTGCTCCTGTTGCCTTCGTTCACCTATGTTACTGTAATGATTACGGGAATCAGGGTAAGACAGTTGATGATCGATTCAGCATTTGGGGAATTTGTGTTTATAAGTGGCTTCAGAAGGTTGTATGCAACAGTTCGATGTTAGGTTATCGTCGTGCATGTTCAACATTAAGATTTCTTCCGTAAGAAACTTTCTGACTTCAGAAATGAGATACACGTCGATGCGAATGAAAGGAATCATAATAGTCACCTGATAGTGAGTGACGCAGACTCGTTCGCCCTCACTGAAGCTTCACTTCTAGTCGACGAACGAAAACGGAAGTTTATGCCTTTTAGGATGTTGGCATTCGTACACTTCCACTATGAGTAATGTTTGTATAACGGAGCGTTCTTCATATTGTGGGTTATGGTGCTATAAGCTAAGAGTGTAATGTGTACAGTTCAAGATAACCTTTGCAACTAGATGTCCACTGCGGCATATAGTCTTCTGCTTCTTTTTCATATTGTGGTACTCATTTATTTACGTCATAAGGATGCCAGCCAAGAGTTTCGCTCAGAATTCAAACCCACGATGTTTCAGCCGTGAGTCTGACGCTTTATCAGTTTGCCTTTTAAGAAAAGAGTTAGAAGTCGTTGCAGTCTGAGCAGATAATACTAGAGATGTTGCATCGTTCGAATTTTCATAAACCGCAATCCAACGTACTCCAACTGCGTAGGCCTCGTTTTCAGAGTCAGGCAGTGGATGCTTTGTAGATGAGTGGACAGACACCGTAAAGCGGTTAATTTAGTTCTGTCTGGGAGGAGGGCATTCTGACTGCAGAATTTTACAAAAAGATTAGCATCTATCGCCTGCATTAATTCCTAAAAATGTCTAATAAAGCATGACTTTGCGCCATGCGTTTTGCCATGTAATTGGAAATGCGATTTATGGGCCAGACTGAAGGAAAATGTGAACAGACGTTAAGTAGCAGGTTGCATCAGGAGATTTATCATTACCATTTGCCTTAGTCGATCCACTGCTGGATCAAAGTCCGCAATACTTCGTCATGTACATCA